CGTTAGTCCCAACACTGGTTATTATTAATCTCTGGCTCTCTTCCACAGCGTGTCTTTGTCCTGTCTTCCTCCCCTAACTCCAGCCAATCACAGCAGATGGCTCCTCCTTTAGCCTGGGTCTGTTGGAGGTTTCTTCCTGTAAAAAGGGAGTTTTTCCTTCCCACTGTCGCCAAAGTGCTTGCTTATTGGGGGTCACTTGATTGTTAGGTTTTTCTCTGCATGTATTATTCTAGGGTCGACCTTACAATATAAAGCTCTTTGAGGCGACTGTTGTTGTGATTTGGCGCTGTATAAATAAATAAATTGAATTGAACAGGGAACAGTACGCCTGCCTTCACAAACCTGTGAGGCAAGCTGTGCAGTCTCTAACCTGTACAATCAGCACACAAGCACAGATGTGTCTATATTACCAAACATATGAACTTACCCATACAAATCACTGATTTCAGGTGTTCCAATCATTCCATACCCGCATGTATGTGACTGGATGTTCATATGTAATGGAATTTTCTATGTCACGTGGAAAATAAGACAAATGTAATGAAGTGGTTTTTCATGAAGTAATTTGTGCCTTAGTTAAAAGTGGGTAAGGTGAGAGTATAGGGTGTGGCTAGATATCAGGTGATTCTGTATAAATGATGATGATTGGATGTCCAGATAGGAGGTGAGAGAGAGGGAGGCAAATGTGCAAAAGAGTATAAAAGAGAAATATTCAGAATATTCTGGTTGTTTTTTTCTGTAGTTCTTTCAATGAGCTGAAGACATCATCTTAAGACATCTTGAGGGTTATAAATCCAAGAGGATTTGCATTTTGAACACAGAGATAAGTGTGTCGGTGGCCAAGGCATGCTGGATGGACAGGAACTGGCAACTCAGGGGTAAGACGCTTGTCACTGTGGTTTGCACATGGCAGATATAGCAAGAGCCTGACACCACTGTGCTAGAAGGGTTTGCTGCTGCTTGCAATGATAGAAGCGGAGAAACTGGCAGTTCGGTAGTAGGGACGCTAGATGCTGCATGCAAATAGGGGATGAAGGAAAACCTGGCAACCCGGTGCATTTTAATTCATTTGTCTATGCCAGGGGTCGTCAACCCTAGGCACGCGTGCCAGCTGTGGCACACAAAGGGTGAACTGATGGCACAACCATAGCTGGACTGGCCATCGGGCATACCGGGCATTTGCTCGGCGGGCCGATGGTGATTTTTAGTTTTTATGTGCTGATGAATTATTATTATTTATTTATTTATTTATTTATTGTAATGGTATAAGCAATGAAAGGTGTTTATACACTCACAGGAGTCCTCAGGTAGCCGTCTGAATGCTGGACACTCGGAGACCTGTGTCTCTGAGTGGGAGACCAGAGATCACATTAACATGTGTGTCTCTGTATTAACAAACATGCCAGTTTATTTTTCTTATCATTGTTGTGAGGAGACCATAAATAGCATTTGCATTTTCTGTTGTACAGCTCATTTGCTGTTATGGATAAAAAGTGTTTTGTTTCCAAATAGCTGATAACTATTCGCTGACAGCTGCCAACATCTGCAAACACATAATCCTATAGGGTGGTTCTATATAGTGTGTAACTGTTCATGTACAGCATTATTACATTTATTGCTAATGCAATCATATGGCACACTGACTTCTGAGGGAATTTTAGATGCACTCGTCATCAGAAAGGTTGCCGACCCCTGATATAGATCATAATCAAACGTTAAAATATTACACAAAATGTCATCAAACATCATTCATGCTGCAGTTCTGCAGAAACCTCTGAAACAACAAGTGAAACATATTCATGAACTTAGGCTACGTCCACACTGGCCCGGATACATACGAAAACGGCATTTTCGTCTGAAAGCGCTCCGCGTCCACACACGTGTTTTCAGTCGTTTTCACAGAGTTGTGCGTCCACATTGAAACGGCCAGAAAACACTTATGTTCCAGTCCTGCGCATGCGTGAAACGCAAGAAGATTCGACCTGCCTCATTTCTGTCTGCCGCTTATTTACTTTCCGGCTCTTTCGAAACGTCGCGGCAAAATGTGAGGAAAAGCACCGAGTTTTTTAAATGGACTACAATGAGGTGGAGTTGTTGCTGCGAGTAACACAAAAGTACAAAGTTGCAAAAGCGCAGTGAGAATTAAAGAATTTGAAGAAAAGCTCTCTGGAGCACGTACAGACTGATATTAATCTTTAATAGGGCTGTCAAACAAAACAACTGCTGTATAATGCCCTCCTGCTATCTTTGTTTAATTGGTCACATGACTGCATCACATGACTAACATGCGTCTCCGTAAGTCTCCGTTTTCACCGTCCACACTGCAACGACGAAAGCACCATCTTCAAATGTATTCGTTTTTGAGAGCGTTTTCCAAACGCTGCGTTTTCGGGGAAAACACCGTCTCAGTGTGGACGGGAGGCCAAAACGGAGAGAAAACGATGCGTTTAGAAACTCCAGATGCTTTTCAGATGACCTGGATGACTGAGACTCTACAAAGACATGTTCACAGACAGAAGAGACAGGTAAAGCATTTAATTACTTTCATTGAAAAACTCACAGAATTGGATTCCAGTGGCCACACTGACCACAACTACTGAACTCTTACAAGACTTCAAATGATGGACATTTCTGAGCTTAATCTGATGCTGTGGTGTCTAAATAACTGAACTATGATCTCTGCAGTAATCTAATGTACACTCACTGGTCACTTTATCAGTTAAACCTTAGCAGTACACTAGTTTTCTGTGGCACAGATTCAACAAGGTGTGGGAAACACGTGAAGTCTACACTCTCCACTGACCTGTAGCATCAACAAGCCCCAGGGAGAAAATCCCAGAAGAACAGCAGTTTCTCAAATATTCATACAAACTGATCTGGTACCACGAACCAGACCGTGTTTAAAAGGTAATTAAATCACCTTTCTTCCCCATTCTGATTCTGGATTTCAGCAGGGCATATTATTAATACCTAAATGAGTTGCTGCTATGCAACTGCATGATTAGATATTCTGTGAAAAAGCAGTTGAATACCTAATAAAGTGGCCAGCTAGTGTGAATTCTGCTACTGAGAAGTTGGTCTTTGAAAACATCAGTTACCCAGATGCCAAGATTAGAGCCTGATCAAATAAACCGTTAACTCCAATATTTCTTCACGACTGGTGAAGAAGCTCAATGTGATGACGTCATTCAGCTGAAGAATGAAGAATGCAACAGAAACAGCATTTCATACAGAACTTCATTATTTACTTTGACAGATGGTGTGTATGCTGCACAGAAATTCACATGTGAGTCACTGAGTCTGTGAATACTCCAAGCATTTAACAGGGTTTTAGGAATAGGGCAGGCCACACAGGTCAATGTTCTTATTAAAGATAATGGAAAACTCCTTAGAAAGCAGCTGGTGAAGGCTGATGCCGTCATGAGTATATACCCAGCGTTCACCTGTCCAGCTGTAGCGCTTGGGTCCGCTGTAAGCACAAGAGAAGAAAGGAAGAGGGAAGTAACATTACTCTATACTGACTTACAACAGATTCTTATTACACCAGTTTGTCAACAGAGAAATATAAATATAAATTTTGTCTGGCTGAGGGGGGAACGCTGGCTGACTCCGCAGTTCGAGTCTCCGGAGGGAAATTCTTGGCAGTTTGAGGCCCCAGGCTTGTGTTGGATACGGTCCATCACAAGAACATTGGCTCGTGTGCGCTGTTGGGGAGACGCCGGCCCAGACCTGTGTTCGGTCCAAGTACGTCACAGGACAGCTGTTCGGGTACACTGTCGGAGTCCATTTAGTCGGAGGGTTAATACAATGTGAGCAAAAATGGAAAATAGCTGAATCCATGTTCTCGGTGTTGATGTATGCAGAGACAGAACAATAGAATATCAAGTCGGGATGTATTTTTGTTCTGATGTTGAAAAGAAGATTGCATCTCTAACAGTTACACTAACAATGCTTATCTTCTGACTTTTAAGGCCTCAACAATGTATTACAGTGATCACTTAAATGCATTTAGTATTGAGGATGGATTGGATGCCTTCACACTCCTCTGTGTAGATGATCTGGAGTACTATAGACTTTACAATAGGCAATTTTCAAATGACACTGTTGACTAAATGTACATTGTCCCATATTTTGTATAAGTTACACCAGTAAACAAACTGGATGATTTACTGTTTGAATACATCTTTGTAAATTAATCTCTTACATTTTTAATGGGTGTTTGTCATTGATGGCTGTGGTGGGTACAGTGGTTGTAAATACGTTTAATTGCAGTAGATGTCAGAGATGAATGCGAGTTCATTGTTATCTGGCAGTGACGACGCTAGTGTTAGAAAATCAGTGCTGTTCAGTGTTACATTAAACACCAGGTTTAGTGTAAAGTACAACCAACACTAATCAGTGCTAATCTTTTAACACTTAAAACTAGGGCTGTGCGATATGACCGAACTCTCATATCCCGATATAAGACATCTATCGTCCCGACAACGATATTTATCACAAAAAGTTGCATTTTCTGTCGATTCTGTGGATCTCGGGCAGCTGAACTTGCGTGAAGTGTTTCCAGCTGGGCGTCGTGTAGCTGGAGTCGAGTGCTACGCAAGTTGAAACCGTAAACACTCTGCATACTATTTCACGTGATTCAGTTTATTTTGAAAATCTCAACAGGCTCTTCAGCTTTATTGTGAAAGGTCGATGTGGAAAATAAACAAGCGGACAGCGTCGTTGTTGCTAACGGCAACGCGTAAAAACAGTCCTTTGTCCGTCTGTAGTGTGGTTTTTTAAATATAAGAGAAAGGGACAACTTTAAGAAACTCTACAGTGACCATCAAAATGATGATAGAAAGTTTATTTTGCGACACCAAGAAACAAACGACAGACGTTTTTATGTCGTCATCCGATATATATCGTTATATCGAACAGCCCTACACACAGTGTAGAATGTTGTTGACACTGCTCAGTGTTAGTGTCATGAACACTAGGTCAGTGTTAAACATATAACACGTTGATAAGCGCTCATTTAAAACTCAAGTGTGGACACATACAGACACGTTTCTAGAGTTAAATTTAACACTCAGTGTCAATTTCACAGTGGGGATTTTGCTGTGTAGAGGAAGAGAGGTCGGCACTATTGGCTGATGTGCAAGAGAGCTACAACTAACAGGTGGTGACGGAGAAAATGGACAGGACTTTTGCTTATAGGTGGCGTGATTGTGCAAGAGGCAGGGGCGGGGTTATTTAAGGTCAAAGGTAATTCTGTTCAGCTGCTGCTGATGAGAAGGGCCAAACGGTTTCTACTGTGCTTAATGTAGTTACCTGTTGTGTTTGTGTGAATGGAAATGTCAGGAAAACCAGACATTGCAAAGGAAATAAATGACACATGAATGTGGTGAACTGTGAGTGCACGTACTAACAAACAATTAGCAACCAGAGCGTCAAAATACAGGATTTAATCACCACAATAATGAAATATTTGCATGTCTGCGTTAATCAATCACGCGATTTATTACTTAAATCAAAGCTGACCAGATTGGTTATGTTGGTAACACACAAGTCACTTATTGGCATCTTAATAATCATTTAGAATTATAAAAAGCAAAACTCAGCTGAGTGGAAAATGTTGACAGAACTGTGTTAAGTAAACTGAACAGAGACATTGTTGGGTTCCAGTTACTCATATTACCATGAAGTGCTACAAAGCTCGAGTCTCACCTGGTAGGAGAAGAAAGCCAGATTTGTTTGTTTGGCGCCTGTTTGTTGATCACATAGGTGCCGTGGTCTCCACCCAGCTTCACTGTCAGAACACCACTCTGTCAAACAAGAAACGGAAGAAAACGGTTCTGCTTTCATCCGTTACCAAAGCAATTTTGACCAAACATCTACATGGAATATAACTAATCTTAATTTTATTTAACATGTATGTAAAGTTTATCCCAAAAAACCCTTTCTGTTTGATTTTGGTGACTATGACTGAAAAGCTTAAAATGACTGCAGCAATTTACCCGATGTGCTATCAACGCCTGGGTTTAGACAGAGATACAACGATGTATCGTCTGCATTACAGCAATAAGACATTCTGTGTTTTCTGAGAAATGAAGCCTGATGGCAGCATGTAAAGGGAGAATAAAACAGGAACTCCACAAGCGAGTGTAGCAGGGTAACACGTGTTACCCAGCATCTCAGAGTATGTTCTGCTCTCTAAGAGGCAAACCATCTCACAGCAGGGCCTCGAATGCCGACGCACGTCTTCAAATGGTTTAATAGGATTGTGTGATCAACTGTGTCAAACGCTGCACTCGGGTCTAGAAGAATTAAAGCAGCCGAAAGCATTGAGCACCTTCAGTAGAGCAGACTGTGTTGCTCTGAAACCGGACTGAATGTATCCAGAACAGTATCTGAAAATGACAGAACTGACGGGTCCAAACCAGCAGCTGGTTTAGAAGAGGAGCAGTTCCATTTCAGACGCTGCTGCTAACAAAGGATGTTCGAAACGTGATGACGACTGTCTTCTCTGAGAAATGGTGTAGGTAACACTTTCACAGGGCAAGTGTCACGTGCATTACTATGTCAGTAAGATGGGACAATGAGACTGGTTTGAAGTAGGTGAGAGAGGAGGAACATGTAGGTGGTTCAGAAGGCTCTGGGGACGGGAGCAGAAGACGTTCTCTGATAGGATTCATTTTTCCAGTGAAGAACCTTTGAAAACCCTCACAGGTGTGTGCGGCGGTCTCAGACGTGGTGGGATGCAGGACAGAGCTGATTGTGTTGGACAGACTTTAGGATTCTTCTTTGTAATAAAATTCACTTACTCGTTCTGCCTGATAGTTATTCAGACAATCTCTAAACACAACGCTGAGCTTTCTTCTATTTTCTTTCTGTTTGACAGCACGAGGGACTTTATTTACCCAAGGCTGAGTTTCTAATTGATGCAGTCTGTGCATTGTTGGTACAAGCTGAACTAAAGCATGCAAGCAGCTCATCACGGTTACAGCGACAAGGAGAAGTTTCATTCAAAGGTGGTTAAAGGAGATTTCAGACGTCATAGGCTGCAGAAAAGAGGCGGTGTGGGTTTGTTTAGGAGATGAGTGAGGGATGGGGATATCAAACATTATGATTAGATGGACACATCAATCACCTCAACACTGATCACTGAAAGACCAGATGACAAGATGGGGGTTCTTAACCTTTTTTACCTCGGGGCCCAACCTTTCCACTACAAGGTGGCCCCGGGGCCTCATTCAGATATTAACTCTATACTGAATAAACTGGTGTTGCTTTTGGTTTGATTTATATTTAATAACTCAATCAAATCTACTTCATTTTAACAGCTAAAACCTTGTCAAATAAATATGGTACAATACAATAGTGTTTGTGGCAGCCTCAGTGTAATTGTATGTTCATCATTTAGTTTCTGTAAATAAGCATTTAGATCATTCTGCCATCATTTATTACAGCTACCATTAAAGTTCACGTCACAGTTAGCAACCTTACAACATCCACAGACTTACAGAGAAGAGAACATCATAGTCGGCCCCAGTAAAAGCTTCGTCTGTGAGGTCTTCAAAGTAATCAGCCAGAGCGTCCAATGTCTCATCGGCCAGCTTCTCATATGCTGCCGCAGACAGTTCACTTTTGGAGAATGACACAAAGTTATAAATGAGTTCAAGTAGTCAAAGCTTAAGCAACGCTTAAGGAGAAAAACAAAAACAAAATATTGGTTACCTTACATGCACGAGGGTGACTTTTTTCTGACTCTGTGAATTCAGGTAGATGGTTTTGCTCCACCTGCAGCCATTAATTCTGCTCCTGAACCACTGAAATAGAAAAACACCAACAAACTTGTTTAATTACTCTTCTCCTTTATGCTCAGCTGGTTTCTGACATTTATGCACCTTATAGAGTATTTATGGCCAACTTTGAAAGTTACAGTTTGTATATTTTCCCATTTGAAGACAGATGATGAAATCACTCGATGTGAAACATTTGTGACGCCTACTTTATCCTTAATAAAGTGTTGAATTTGGAGGTGCAAGGCACTCCCTGATTTTGGACTGAGACATAAGCTAATTCTAACCGTAAACTTTGTTTACTTCTTCAAAGGTTCTGTGGGCCCTTCTATGAACTCTGAGCATCAGGTCTTTCCATAGGTTTTCCAGTTGGATTCGGGTCAGGTGATTGGCTGAGCCATTCTCGCCGCCTGTGGCAGAGTTCAACTTTGGTGTCATCTTTCCAGAATATATTCTCCCAGTATTTCACAGGCTTGTTCCAAACAGATGCAACACACTCATGCAATAAAGAGGATGTTTATTGTGTTCCAACATTACTCATTTAAGCTGAATTTTCCATTAATATGGTTTATAGCAGGGATGTCCAAACTCCGGCCCGCGGTCCATTTTTAATTGGCCCGCAAGTAATTTTATAAATAGAATAGAATAAGGCTGCACTTCAACTTTTGCCTGAGTGTATTGCACTTCTTAGTTTTAACACCAGGGGGAGCTGCTGTTGATCAAGGCAGTTGCTCCACCAAAAACGACAATCACAGAAGAAATGTACCCCAAGTTACTAAACAGGTCAGAACCAAAGAAGCGAAAAGTAGAAAAGTGAGTGCAGAAAATTTCAGACACGGTGGGAGAGTGAATGTTTCTTCAAAGAACTCAAGGGGACGCGTGTCTGTTTGATCTGCACCGAGACTGTGGCAGTTATGAAAGAGGATAACGACGTCATTATGAAACCAAACTTCAGGCCTGTGCATCCGACACTGGTGCTGAGCCAGAGCAGACATTAAGCTCTCGCTGCAGGGTCAGCAACAGTATTTATTTCGTGCTCCACAGGTCCAGGAAAAGGCTCCGATAGCCGCTACACCATCAAACAGTCAATATCTGTAACAATATTCAACTATAGAAGTAATAATATTTGAACAACTCCAGTCAGGACGGAGAGTTTAAACAGGCCTAAATTTGATACAGTTCATATTGATTTGTCACATAGTGTGTGTGTCTGTGAGTGTGTGTTGGTGTCTGTGAGTGTGTGTGTGTGTTGTGTGTCGTGGTGTGTGTGTGTGTGTGTGTGTGTGTGTGTGTTTGGTGGTGTGTGTGTGTGTGGAGTTCTGTGAGTGTGTGTGTGTGTGTGTCTGTGAGTGTGTGTGTGTGTGTCTGTGTGTGTGGTGTGTGTGTGTGTTGTCTGTGTGTGTGTTGTGTTGTTTGGGAGGTGTTGGTTGTGGTGTTGTTGTGAGTGTGTTGTTGTGTCTGTGAGTGTGTGTGTGTGTCTGTGTGTGTGTGTGTGTGTGTGTGTGTGTCTGTGAGTGTGTGTGTGTGTGTGTGTGTGTGTGTGTGTGTGTGTGTGTGTGTGTGTGTGTGTGTGTGTGTGTCTGTGGTGTGTGTGTGTGTGTGTGTGTGTCTGTGTGTTGTGTGTGTCTGTGAGTGTGTGTGTGTGTCTGTGAGTGTGTGTGTGTGTCTGTGTGTGTGTGTGTGTGTGTGTGTAGTGTGTGTGTGATGTGTGTGCTGTGGTGTGTGTGTGTGTGTCTGTGTGTGTGTGTGTGTGTGTGTGTGTGTGTGTGTGTGTGTGTTGTGTGTGTGTGTGTGTGTGTGTGTGTGTGTGTGTGTGTGTGTGTGTGTGTGTGTGTGTGTGTCTGTGAGTGTGTGTTGTCTGTGTGTGTGTGTCTGTGTGTGTGTGTTGTGTGTGTGTGTGGTGTGTGTGTGTGTGTGTGTGATGTGTGTGTTCTGTGAGTGTGTGTGTGTGTCTGTGAGTGTTGTGGTGTGTGTGTGTGTGTGTGTGTGTCTGTGAGTGTGTGTGTGTGTGTCGTGTGTGTGTGGTTTGAGGTGTGTGTGTGTGTGTGTGTGTGTGTCGTGATGTGTGTGTGTGTGTGTCTGTGTGTGTGTGTGTGTCTGTGTGTGTGTGTGTGTGTTGTGTGTGTGTGCTGTGTGTGTGTGTGTGTGTGTGTCTGTGTTAGGTGTGTGTGTGTGTGTGTGTCTGTGTGTGTGTGTGTGTCTGTGTAGTGTGTGTCTGTGTGTGTGTGTCTGTGTGTGTGTGTGTGTGTGTGTGTGTGTCTGTGTGTGTCTGTGTGTGTGTGTGTGTGTGTGTGTGTGTGTGTGTGTCTGTGTGTGTCTGTGTGTGTGTGTGTGTGTGTGTGTGTCTGTGGTGTGTCTGTGTGTGGTGTTGTGTGTTGTGTCTGTGTGTGTCTGTGTGTGTGTGTGTGTTGCTGTGTGTGTGTGTGTGTGTGTCTGTCTGTGTGTGTGTGTGTGTCTGTGTGTGTCTGTGTTGTGTGTGTGTGTGTGTGTGTTGTGTGTGTGTGTGTGTGTGTGTGTGTGTGTGTGTGTGTGTGTGTGTCTGTGTGTGTGTGTGTGTGTGTGTCGTCTCTGTAAGAACCAGACCGAACATTTGTAGATAAACTGGAGATGGTCGAGAAGCTCGGTGACAACTACGTCATTAAGTATGTTCAGTTTAAACTAATCACCAGCGAGTAAAAGCTGAACTTACGCTGTGCGACGGCCGGCAGGGGGGATGCAGCGTGCGGTTAATGAACGGACGAAGCCCCGGGAGGTGAGATAATCTCCAGAACTACAGTGGACATAAAGGTCACTGTGAGTGTGGCTCGTATCTACCATTAGCATCATGTTCAGCCATGGACGCAGCTCGTACCTGGTTCCACAGATGCTTCTTCCTCTGCTGCGTCAGCAGGTTGAGCTGACACACGTGTGAGTAAATCCGCGGTGTCTTACAGAGCAGACGCATGGTGACGGTCCCGATAAACAGTCCCGGTGTGTTGACAGCCAACGCTGCTTCTTCCTCGTCTGCGGCTTTCTTTCTTTTTCGTCATTTGTTGGCGGTTGGCAAACAGCAAAATGGTGTATTACCGCCCCCTGCCGGTGTGGAGAATGAGTTCGTCTTAAACTAAATATGGCCTGATAATACTCGAGTCCATCTCCACTTCCATATCACCGAGCTTCTGGATCAGCTGTCTTCTTTCAGCATCATATTTCTGACAGTAAAACGTGTTTTCCTCCCATTACTTTTGACATCTTTCTTCCATTTTCTGCTGTGTTCTGCTCTTAATCTCTGTCCTGCTAACACTGATAGCCAATCCACTGATACCCATGGTACCCATAAGGTGGTGACTCTGAGCTCCATGTCGTTGACTCTGTACAGTGTTTGCTGAATCTCTATCAGAATGTCTGACCTGCTGTCTGAGTCACTGTCTTGTAAACTAGCCAATGATGAGTGTGAACATATCACTGATCTTACTGGTCTTGCGTCTTCAGTCCACTGGACAGCTGACAGAACTGAAACTGTCACTGATCCTTTTCCTTACTTTGACATGAAACTCAGGAACAATAAATATATCCCGCTTTGGTCGTTCTTTGATGCATCTGTGTGGATTTTGACATAACTGTAACACCGCTCTATATATGCCTGCACTGTATGTGCGTTTAAAATAAAAGCCCTGTTCCTAGAGCATCAGAGAGCACTCAGGACCTTCTTACTGTGAGGCAACAGTGCTGACCACACCACCGCGTTGCCATAATTGTATCATATTCATAGAAACTATGGCTGTCATAACCTTTAGTTACTTTCATCATAAATCAGGGTTCGACATAAGGTGCATCACATCCCTCCTCCCTGCATCAGTCCTGCAGGGTCCTGCAGTCCTGTGGTCCCCGGCTGTCAGGACCCTGCAGGATCTCGTCACACTTTAGTGTCTGATGTCCATGATTTAAGAATCCTCTTTTGCACACTCTCAGTCTTACTTACTCCTTGTTGTATTTAACTTTTATCACTACATCATGTTATAAGGCCTTCAGTGTGGGTTAGTACCTCTAACTTTACACCCCCTGAACACATTTTGTCACCTTATGACCACAAACTTTACATCATACTTTGCAATATTGATCCATGGGGTCAATACTACTTTGTTGTAAAACAGCTCAGTCAGATTGGATGTGGAGCGTCTGTGAACAGCAGTTTTCGAGTCTTGCCACAGATGTTCGGTGTGATTTAGACCCAGTCACGTGGATATTCTTTGATATAAACCATTACATTGTCTGCTGGAAGGTCAATCTCCACCCCAAGCTCAAGTCCTTTGCAGCCTCCAACAGGTTTTCTGCCACGTGTTTAGCTCCATCCAACTTGATTATCTAATTAGGTGACTTCTAAAGGCAACTGATATCACTGGGTTTTGTTTGGGGGTATCAGAGCACAGGGGGCTGAATACACAACACAATTTTCAGATTTTCATCTGCTTAAATTACTTAAGGGATCCAGAAAATGGAGCTCTCAGAAATGAGGAAAAGAAACAGACCAATGAGGAGGCTCGTGGATGCAGTGATGAAGGGCATGCAGTGGGTGAGGAAGAGGGTGATGACCCTCTGTGGGCGACCCTACAGAGAGCAGCTGAAAGAAGAAGAGACAACAGGCCAACTGACTGACCTCCACCACCAGCACCATGAGCGATGTGTGATGGAGTTTGTCATGGTCCTGAGTCTTTGGGGCTGGGGAGGTGTTGCTGTTCTGGTTCTCTGTACGGGTTTGGTCCTGACTTCATCTGAGTCCACTGATTCCCAGCCTGGGTCTCTCTGCTGTTTCCCTGTTTTATTTTGATAGTCTCCTCTGTAATTCTAATCTGTGATTTTGCTTCCTTTGATCTGGATTAGTGTCAGCTGTGGGCTGTTCCCTTTGTTGTCTGTTGTGAGCTCCCTCGTGGTGCGTGACCTTCTGTCAGCCTGTAACTCAGCTTCGTTCCAGTTTTGTTGCTTTGCCATTTCCAGCACATAAAGCTGTGGTTAAGCTTCTGTGTGATGATTTCTTCTGTGGGATCCACACATGTCTGAGGCAGCAATGCTAATGTTGCTGTCACGTGTGCGATTATGGTCAAAGGCAGTCAGCTACTGTTGCATTCCCACACATGTGCTTTTACTTTTGTGCAGTATTGTAGTGTTTGTGTCAGGATGTGGACACGTTTTTATAAAACCAGCCAAATGTAATCAGTAGTTCTCGAAGGCTGAAGTGCAGACTGAATGTTTAACAGCTGAAACGTGTCCTTGTTAGACAAGGAAATGAAATAATTATGAAGCATAAAGTGTGATAAACAGCATGTCTCACACATCAGTGACCAGTATGATGGTATTTGTATTCACAGCTCACAGACTGGACGTAGGAGGGGAGGCATTTTAATTTGACTCCAGTGGGCTGTAAAGCTTACATCATTCTGCTGAAATAAAAGAAGTCATGAACTGATTGTTCATGTAAACATACGGATTCATCCTTTAATGTCAGAATAGAAACTGCTCAGCAGAAAGTCTCTTTGATTTGAATCGTCTTTAAGGTCATCGATGAATCACTCGCCCCTTTCCGATTGGCCACATGAGTTTTCCCAGCAGACCCAGCTGTTCTTTCACGATGCTTCCCTGGTGCACGTTCCTGCCTCCTGCAGGTTTACCTTCGACCTGTGAACAGAAGAGTCAGAACAGGTGCCATCATGGCGTCGTTGCACCAAAACAAAGACAGAATAGATTCATTAGATCCCTGTGGTTGGTAGAATTAAATAATGATTATTGACATTCACATTTTAAGTATAACACAATCATTGAAATGAATTATTCATTATTACAATTCATTATAGGGAATTCTTCTGATTTGGACAACACTGTGACAGCCCTGCAAATATCAGGAGCAGCTCAATAACACAAATCAGGCTGCTTGCTTCAGTGAAGTGCAGCGCTTCTGTTTGACTGGCTGTAGATAAAGAATCATCAGGTGAGAGTTTGTACAAACACAAACACAAATTAGTCTAAGAAGGTGGTTCCCAAACTGTTTCTGCAAGGCCCCCCTTTGTTCTACGAGAACCCCCCATCGAGACACACACACACACACACACACACACACACACACACACACAGATTTTGTTTTTAAATTCCATTGCAGTTTATAATGACGTAACTCCAACACTGGATTACAGGCTCTTACCTGTTGTGGGTCATGTGACTCTTGACCAGATGCCCAGCAGCCAGAGCAGCCATCAGTGAGAGCTCTCCAGCGAGTACGGTGGCACACACGATCCTGGCCAGCTGTCGGGCGTTCTCACCTGGACAGTCCTGACTGGCTCCTTGCACACCCAGCATCTACACACACATGAACGCACAAGTTATATGGCAACCAAATCCTTCCACGGATGCAGCTTTGAATGAAACAGTGCTGCTAATCCATTTATCCATGTAAGGATCTAAAAACCACACGACTGTGACATGTTTGAGTCACTGTGCAGCAGCACGCCATATACCTCTGCTCACACTTGCACTTGGTCCTAAAATCAAATCGAGTTTTTAGTTGTGACTCACTGCAGACGCACAGGTACAACAACAGACTGTGCAAACTAAAAACAGTCGTCATGGAGACACGGTCCAAGCTGAACTCCAAAACGTTTTGTTTTTACGGACACTGCTGGACATTTAACATCTGCATAAAGTAAATGTGTGGCATGTTCACTGTGTGTGTTTAATAAAAGGTGCTCGGGGACACGTGTCACTGATTTATAATCGTCCAGACAGACATGAACTGGGAGGGAAGCAGAAATAAAAACTGTCTTTATTGAATCAAAGTCTTTTTGAAAAGAGCTTTGAAAGGATTGTTGAGGAAGCTACGCCTGCTTCAGTGGAACGTCATTGTTTCCACTTTTCCTGCTGCAGATGATCGACTGTAAACGGGTTTGCTTTGTTTCTCTCCCGTCACCTTAGCTAGCAGCCTGCTAAACTCTTTTCACGTGACTCACTGATCTACTGTCACAGCAGCGAGTTACACGACTGACAGTTTTTACAGCCTCTTACTTTGTGCTCACCCTGCAGGCTTCCCTCCTGCTCAGCTCTTCATGCACTCAGACCGTGCACCACGCATCCATCAGTCTTTCTCGTCATTGTCATTACTGACACCTCTAACTGAACAATATTACATGATCCTAAACATCTAACAGTTGTGTAACCACTTCAAAATGAAAAGGACTGCCCAGTGTTAACTGTTGATCTTCGGTTGCTTGACATGCTTGATGTGCTCGTACCTGCAGACAGGCCTGTTGTGGAGGCAGGTTGGTCCCTCCTCCTACAGTGCCCAGCTCTATAGATGGCATAGTACAGCAGATGTGCAGGTCGTCTCCTGCTGGGCCTGACGGCTCCATGAGGGTGATGCAGTTACTGCTGCCCACTGACTGAGCTGGGTCCTGTGTGCACACACACACACATTAACACAGGACACATGGGAATAACTGATGCGCAGCATTTCCTCACAGGTCATTTACCTGTCCACATGCTATGTAGATGGCTGTGACCAGGTTGGCTGAATGTGCATTAAAACCTCCGATGCTTCCTGCCATGGCTGAACCCACCAGGTTCTTGTTGATGTTAACTTCCACCAGAGCCTCTGTGCTTGTTTTCAAAACCTGAAGGGAGCGAGACCGAGACAGCAGCATGAAACGCTGGCGTCCTTTTACAAACCATCAAAGCGATTCATGAAAAGTGCAGCCACGGTTTGCTTCCAATGAGCTACATCAGAGACCTGACAGGTGGAGCCGTTCTCAAACAGCGAGTCGTTGTTAAATGACAACAGGAAATACTTTAAATACTTTTTAAAATTCAAATCTTGTCAAATGAAAATAGAATTTTAGATGTGAGTGGAGTGTTCGATTAAAGACGAGTCTCTGCCAGAAAGATGTGCTTCATGTAGGTTAAGTCATAAACACCTTCATTTACAAACTGCTGTCTTTGTCTAAAGTTTACATTCGTTTAATGATCGGAAACATTGGGGTGTGACAAACATAAATACACTTCTCACCCCACTGTGCACACAGCAGTGATTCTTTGTGACACTGCGTGCACTCTTACAGTATTGTGTTATAAAGAATGTGATTCTGAAGTTCAGTGTTTTGTGCCGCAGGAAATAAAAAAGCACTGAATGATTGATCAGATCAACATGTTTGACTCAAACTGTGGAGGAAGATCCTGTCAGACTAAGAACAGCAGAGAGTTTAAATATCAGCGTCATTTTTCAAGTCCTCGAAACTCTTCTGGACATTCAAATAGTTTTTTTCCTGTGAACAAACTGTGGTTCAGCTCAGCAGGTCCCCCAGGAGGACACTGGAGTCTCCAGATGGGACACACCCAGTGACTCATAGGTAGCGCAGGTAAAGAACTCTAACTGCACCTGGTGGGTAAAACCACACAGTTGTGCTCTGTGACGTCATCCTGTGAGAGAGACGATAAAGGTCCATCAGACTTCTGAGTGTTATGATCAATAATTTTGAACTTAGATCCTGTTTCTTCAGTTTTGTGTGACAAATTGAATCCTGTTTTCTGTCAGACTGTTTTTAACCCTTAAGGTTGTGCTTAGATTTAATACTTCTCTAAAAAGCAGAGTCAGTACGTGCATCTTCTAAAGTAAAGTTTGCTTCACTGCAGGTTTCTGCTGAAACTCTATTGGCAGACAGTTAGTCCCAGTAAAGGTTACACAGTGCTTCCTACCTCTCTGACCACCTTGGCAGGGATGGTGGCTTCGCAGACAGCAGACTTTCCCCGGCCCTCGATCCAGTTGATGGCAGCTGGCTTCTTGTCTGTGCAGTAGTTCCCACTAACAGCCACCACCTGCAGCTCTGGGAAGTGCTGCTGCAGTAACCTCAGAGCCTCCTCTGTGCCCTGCGGGTAGATCAGATTCATCACGTATGGTTGCTACGTCATAAATGCATCTGACACAGCGACGCAGGTTCATGTTGAGAAACGCTGATCCATCTAAAACAGCGTTTCCAGAAGTGCTGAATAACAACCTTTGTTAATCCAGTATGAGTGAGCACTGGGTGATGGTGTAAGTAAACGGTAAATGGCCTGTATTTGTATAACGCTTCACTTAGTCTCTATGGACCCCAAAGCACTTTACACCACATCCACCCATTCACACACACATGCACACACTGGTGATGGCAGCTACGTTGTAGCCACAGCCACCCTGGGGCGCACTGACAGAGGCTGCCGGACACTGGCGCCACCGGGCCCTCTGACCACCACCAGTAGGCAACAGGTGATGTCGCAGAAATCCCTTTAACAAAACAACACGTGTGTTTCTCCACATTAAACGAAGCTGCAGACACGACCACAGTTACCTTAGAGATCATGTTCATCCCCATCGCATCTCCAGTCTTTGAATGGAAGCGGATATAAAGATTTCTCCCTGCCAGACCCACCAGCAGCTTCTGAAGCCTCGCAAACCTGCAGACAGCAGTCCTCCGTCACACAGGAACAACACACAAACAGACACACAAACACACACTGCAGACAGTTTACCTGCTGGTGTTGTCAAAGGCGGCTTGATGGCCTGAAAACCGTCGGTGCTCTCCAGCCAGGCTTTGACTTCAGCAGCACGGCAGGCAGAGGGCAGTCTGACTACAGGGCCCCGAGTCATGCTGTCAGCCAAGATACGACTACGGGCTCCCCCACCCAGCTACACACACACACACACACACACACACACATTTATGTGGTAAACATTAGCACATGGCTCACAGTGTTTTCATATACTGCGTTCATGCTGTAACTCGTCCTGCAGCACATGCAGAGTAGCAGTAACAACACATGCTACACTCACTGCGATTGCTCGACAGCCGCGGTTGGTGCTGGCGACCAAGCAGCCTTCTGTAGTTGCCATGGGAACTTGGAACTGTTTCCCATCCAGAAGTAGTGGTCCAGCCACACCCACAGGTACGGGCACATAGCCAATCACGTTCTCACAGCAGGTGCCGACAACCTGGGAAACAAGGACTGTGTTCAAAATAACTTACTGACATTTTATTTTAAATCTAAGAATTGATGTTTGTACCAAAATAGTTTCTTAGAAAATTAAAACTGTACTGGGAATCACCACCACATCCCAGTAAATAAGGTGAGAGAAAGGAACGTGAGAACTTTATTAATCTCAGAGGAAATCATTTGGTCACAGGTGCTTCAGGACAGTAAGAACAGCAACTAAAATAAGTAACACAGATACAGCAGAGCAGCTGCAATCACAAATGTCCCAACACATTACACACAGCTAACATATACAGTAGCTCACGCTGAGACGCCCCGCTCATTATACTGACTGTGTACTTTTCAGTGTGTACAGTTCTTGTAGTGTGTACGTGTGCTCCTCCTGTACGACGTGATGCTCCATCATGTTGTCACCTGTGCGACTGCAAATACACCTGAGCTTTCCTCCCACTGCTCTGTGGGTCAGGCTGCAATGCTCCGTGTTCATTAATGTTACAGTTATATTAATAATTATAAATGGTAATGAGCAGTATAACTAGGCTCACATGGTCAGATGTTGCAGTTACAAATGTTTGTTTTAATAAAGCTTCTGTTGAGTTTTTTTAACCTTAAATGACCTTTGACCTCTTGTTTGATCTGTTTGGTGCCTGTTTTCTTTGTTTTACCCAGCGCTTTGTCACTTCCTGTTTATCAAAATAAACTTTACTTCCTTAACACGACTTTGCTGTGATGTGTGTGAACAGTCATTACAGTTGTGTGGTGATAGCTTATAACAAAGAATGTGTAACAGGTACAACACACTACTAAAGTCTTCCTCCTGTCCTTGCCCCGTGGTAAGGCCCTTTGCTTGAAACGTTGAGGTAAGTTTGGAGCAGTCCAGGCAGAAATTAGACGACAACAGAGGAGAACGTAGTTGTGTCTCACCTTCGAGTAGTCATAGTTTGTGTACGGTAAAGAGGAGAGCGCAGAGGAACAGGGAAGCTTGGTTGATAACATTTTTCTTCTAATGGCCACGCCTCGCTCTGCGGTCTCCATGATGGCTTCCAGTTTGTAGGCAGGGATGTGTTTAGAGCTGACCAGGAGCATCACCTCAGCATCACTCAGGAAACGAGGGCCCAGCTGCAACAACCAGACTCACGGTCAGTTATAGTCTGCACAGACCAGTCGCTGGGATTTACTTTAAATGCATGATAAGAAATAATATACAGTAAGATAATAAAATAATATACAGTAAGATAATAAAATAATATACAGTAAGATAAAATAACTAAAAGACTGAAATAATTCTGAAACGTCTTCATAAACATGTCATTTTCCTCCCACAACAAATAAACATTATGGAAAACAGGTCATAGCCAGTTCATTAAATGATGACGACTGTTGGCATTGACACCATACATGCTGCTTATATAAATATCTACACAGTCCTAACTCAGCAGTAAATGCTGTGGACTACATGCACGCTGTGGTCAAACATTCACTAATTCATTGAATTTATTGAATTTCATGGTAATTTGGTTTAATGTTACTTTGTAAGCTGCACGTCGGCCACATGATTCCTGCATCATTGGCAGAGTTTATTTAAAGCAGCTGCTGTGTGTATGAGTACTTTTGACCCCGTGTTTGTACTTTTACCACACAAATGACAGAAAATTCAAACTTGTGAACCAAATTCTTGTTTTTGAAAATCTTTCCAGTTGGAAAAAGAACAGTTCAAAGACATCAATGCGTCTGAGGTTACCGTGGCGTCCGTGACGAGTGTGTGTAAACTGCAGCTCTACAATCACTGCAGATCACACCTTTGTGCAGGTATTGTCTCTTTAAGTAGAGGTGATTTGTTTAACTTATCAAACTGCAACTGAACGAGGTGGAGGTAGGCCGGGTCAGGTCTGCTTTAAAGGGAAGGCAGTCCCATCTTGTAGCTGCAGTTAGCTGCTCTTACTAAATCAAAAGTTGAAACTTTTTGTGGGCTTGTCAGTCTTCCTGTGATAAAGCCGAACCGTTTCAACTGAAAGGGAAACGACATGAGTCAGAAAAGATGAGGAAGGACAAACATGTCAATGGCCTCCACCTGGAAACACTTCCTGTTTGGGGGCCATTGTTTTCCCCTCTTCTCCACATTCACACCAAAGCCGCTGAGGCCGACACCCTCGACTACCTACCTGATGAGGTCAATGACTTGATTCTATACTCTGATTGAAACGAGCTCCTTTCATTACCAACAACATAACATGTTATGTCAGCATAAGTGCGTTCAAAGCAACATAACGACCCTGAAGTCCAGCACATATACAACTGATGCCTGAGCAGATATGTGTGGGAAATTATTAGCATTCTTTAAAAGATCACAACTGATGGCAACAGTTTTAATATCACATGATTCAAAACAAAGAAAATGACTAAACGTTTGTGGAACGAGTTTTTCGAAGACGGGCTTCAGCGATTTGCGTCTAACGGCTGACCTTAGGGTCGTTGAGGATGACCACACAGTGGTTCAGGTCTCTGGGCTTTTGGGGGAGCGTGTTCTCCGTGCTCTCAGACTTGGATTCTTCTTCCCTCGTTACAAAGAAGCTCCTTGGATGATGATCGTTGTCGGCAGCAGACAGGGGCCGGATAACCTCATCTAGGATAACAAGGTTGAATTTGATAACAAAGCGCTAACAAGTCCGTCTGTTTTACCACTATCAGTAGACACACCTCTCTCCCCCTTATGGGCGGGTCCTGGAACAGCCATGGTGTGAGCGGGGGCGTGGCATCGTGACGTAACTAGATCCTCCCTGCAGCAGGGCTCGGATGGGGATGGAGGATTTAGGGTGTGTGTGGAAAGGGAGATGGGGTTCTTCAGTGACAGCGTGGATTCCATCTCAGCCTGTTCAAAGAAGATGTACTTGATAGCCAGCAGCAGGGCCAAGAGCAGACAGATCATTTGCTCTATGTCCATAGTTATCATCCTGTAAGGTAAGATGAAGAGGAACATGTTTCACTTCACAAAAGCACGACAACAGGAATGTCCAGGAAAACTCTGCAATTCCATTATGAACACAAACACAAAGCACAGGTGACCCTGACCATCCATCTCTTCACAGAACAGAGTTTTTGCCCTTTATGTCTCACACAGAAAGTCTCATATGTTCAGCAGCTCAACAGCATGTGCAATGCTCCATGGGGCAGTTATCACAACTGTGCGAACGTTAAATTAAAACAACCTAAACTACTGCATCACCTCGTGAGGTAGAACTGCCAAAGAGGTTTATCCGGCTCAATTCTCCTGGGTGAGAAGTGGTCCAGCTCCATGCCGACCCCGAGCATGTCCACTGCAGAGTTTATGGACAATGGTTCAGCAATCCAGCGGCTGTGAGCATGAACCATGACCAGGCCGAGAGACTGAACGTGGAGCAGAGACAAACATTACACAATTCTTCAAATAAAGACAAAGACACTAAGTAACCCGTTAGAAGCTTACCATGATCATTTTGACCCTCTGTGTTACAGGATTGGGTTTGTTGTCCTCCTCCTCCATTGCTCTGGACAAATCGTTGAGCTGCCAGATAGGATGGCCCCCCTGACTCTCGCGGGACAGCTGAACGAACAAATAACAGGAACAATCAAAGAAACCCGCACAAACATCAACATGTCAGACACATGCAGGAAAGCTGTGCCCTTACCTCCAGCAACAGGGAAACACATGCTGGGAAGAAAGTCATGAACACAAAGTAGTTGGCCAAGACAGACATGCATCCAAAGCAGCACATGATTTCCAACTGCCTTACACCTGCAAGACACCACACAGATATCCGCTCGACAACAAGTCACACCTCTATAGCATCATAATTACAGAAAGGCGTTATTCACTTTCTACAGCAACACTCAGTTTCTAAAGTCTGTCCACTATTACAACAGCAATGATAAATTCAGTGTAGTGGCCAGCTTGGTGACCTGTGGGGGAAGAAACCACACCTGGCACTAATGTGCAGTCAGACAACCTTTGATCTGATTACTAATGCAGTTATGTCCAAATGATTTCACATATAGAAGAAAACTTGTGATTAATAGTCAAACGTGTGGGAAACTCAACTGGTGCTAAAGTGACCAGACATAAATACACGACAGCTTCCAGCAAGCTGTGAAAACAGACGATTCAAACAGTGCTTACTTCACAGCAACGTAAAAGTGGCTTCAGGTTACATGTAAAACAGTATGTTTGTGTCTGACATCGGTTCATGGAAACTGTGGAAAACAAGCTCAGGAACCCACGAGCTAGTCTCTCCTAATGCGAACACCCAACAGGAGCACATACCTGACATGGTTCCCACTCCGATCACTAAGCATTCCACCAGAGCATCCAAAGTAAAGGCAGGTCCAAGTACCGCCATCCCATGAGCAATGTTATCCCTCACTTCATCCTGAAAACATATGAGTGACATATCAGTTTCTCCGCTGCTGTTAGGATGTGGCAATAAAAACCAAAATATAATAGTGCATACCTGAGAACTGGAGCTCAAGGCAAACTTGGCGAGAGCGCATGCTTTGGAGAGGTCGATGAGAAGCAGAAAGAAGGGCAAAGCCTCACTGAAAGACAGGATCAAACTCTTTATCGCACGTTTCTGAAAGAGCTCCTGAAAAAAGGGCCTTTTTATCGAGTGTGTCCTTACTTGAGGCCAGTGAGCTCCTTATCAAGAAAGTGAATGACAACTGTGCTGAATACAAAGCTGGAGAAGATGGTGAAAAGGCCAGCGATGCCTACAGGAAACGCAGACGGAGTCAGGTCAAAAGGGAGAAACATCACCGGCATGTCCTACAAACACACGAGCACTGATACCTAAAATATATTTGGACCCCAGCTGTCTCAGGTTCTGGAACTGGAAGTAAATATAGACGATGGCGATACAACGCGTAATGGTGAGGATGATGACGTCACTGCTCAGAATCTCCTGCAATAATAAAAAACAATAGAATTAATAGAATAAAATCGCACCACTTGTTATTATTGACACTGATCCTTTGCTCACCTCTGTTTTGGGGCAGTCGAAGTTCCAGCCACATATCTGGTCATTCCCAGTGAACATGTTCATGGACATCATGCAGACAGTGAGGGTGACTGTCCCCACAATCACCTCCCAGGGGTGAGAGGCCACCACGAGCCCGTGGGCACGGAACACGCGGGTCAGCATGCTGCAGCGGGGCTACAACATAACACATGTAAACCGAAGAGCTTCCCGAGGATGCCCGATGATAATCTGACAGTTTGAAACGGGATCGATGGGTTTGATTTCTACAGCGTCTGGTCAAAAGCGCTTAATACGTTAAGATAAGAGCAGCAACCAGAAATGGTTACTGACAGGGTTCGGTTTTACACCACAGCTATTTTAAAGTGCTAAATAAGAAACTTTATTTATACTATTTCAATAAGTCAATTACTCATATAAAGCTGCAGGTTGTTGTTATTTTGCTAGTAAAATGTCGTTGTGTGAGTGACTGACTCACCTGGTAAGAAGATGATTATGGAGGTCCGATTAACAGCCCGCCGTGCAGGAGATGTGAAGCTGCAGATTACACTGCGCTTCACCTCCCAGCGTCACCACACCGATGGAACCATGGCACGCTATGGTGTCATGCAGCACTTCCACCTATCAGCTCCGTCTGACGCTTCGCTAGCGTCGTTGCCCCGCCCCGTTTCCTAGGCGACAGTAGTACTAGGGCATGGCCAAAGCTAAAACGACTAATCTCGCCACACACACCAGGCTGTATGTAAAGATCACGGCATGTTAGTTAGCTGTCAGGCTTTAGAGTCCCCCTTTTATTTCTTTTAAATAAATTAAAAAACAAAACCTATCAAAATTTTAAACGAATATCCTCATTTTTGGCTCTTATTTTTCTTAAAAACAAAAATAAGGTTAAAAAAAATCTGGTAATTCTTTGTTTTTACATTCATCGGGCCCCAATATGACCAAATATCAAAGAGAAATTAAAAATGCATGCTGTGGAAGAGTTCGGGTCTTAGGAGGTTAAATAACACATTCTAACCGCGATGTAGTACCAATATAGCGGCACCATTTGAATCCAACGGACCGGGGTTATGGAGCGACCCTAAATACAGGAGGGAGACATGAATGAACTTAGTCCGCTCATACCTGAAGTCTTCTTTGTTTTTTATTTTAAGCAAAAAAGTTGACGAAGCTCTAAAGCTTTTGACGTTCATATATATATGTGTGTGTGTGTGTGTGTCTCTATCTGTGTGTGTGTGTGTGATATGTCGCCAACTTATGTGTGTGTGTGTGTGTGTGTGTGTGTGTGTGTGTGTGTGTGTCAGATTACAAAAGAGAAAATTCACTCTTTCTTGCCACAAGAGCTAAATAGTAAAGTCAATATGAACTGGCAGCTACAGCGTTGTGTTAATCCGACTGGATTCAGTTTGCACTTCATGACATCAGTCTTCACGGTCACTTCCACTTCAGCTGATTTAGGTTTGGTATTTCATTTTGCAGTATTTCATTAATCACTGTCCTGTTTACAGTTTTTGTCACTGCGCTGTATTGCTCTAAATGTAATGTATTTCATATATATAATCTTGTGTGTATGTTTGAATAGCACAACAGAACATAAAATGTGGGGTCCCTATTTTATCTGAAATTACAGTATAACTATATTTACCTACTAATACTAAGGTATTTACATTAAAAGAAGGGAATAGAGTTATTTTACCTTATCTAACATCCAGGTGTTTAACAGGAAAGGAGACACAAATTGTAAGGAATTACTGAGTAAGTACTGCTTAGGTTTGTGCATATTCTCCTTTGTCCCACACGCCATCAGACTGTTTAACTCCTCTCTGGAGGGGAGAGGGAGGGGAGACAGGAGGACAAAGGAGGGGGGAACAACTAAGCTGTAGTGCCTCTTCACTTCACTGTGCAATACTTTTGTTAATAGTCAACGGTGCAATAGACCTCAATACTTAAATGTGCAATTCACTTGTATTTTTATTTTTATTCTATTTATTCTATTTATCCCCTTCGAATTTTTTATATTTTTATGTTATATATGTCTCTGTATTTATATATGTGTGTGTGTGTGTGTGTGTGTGTGTGTGTGTGTGTGTGTGTGTGTGTATATTTATAATATTCTGTAACTCTGTAACTTCTGTTAGTGCTGTGCTTTTTGGAAACCGAATTTCCCAGAGGAACCCACCCGAGGGATTAATAAAGTTTTATCTTATCTTATCTCTTATCTTATTCAATTGTCTTTTTATATGAAATATAAAAATGATACATTGATAGTTCTCATTATTATATCTGAGCCTGTTTTTATTCACCTTTAATGAAAAACAAAGAACATGAAACACTTCTTAACCAGAAAACGAGCTTTAACTACACAGTGCCAAACAAAACAATCCTTTTTCTAGAGTAACTGTAAATGCAGTAATCTTAATTACTGTGTAAGTCATTTTAAGTACTGGGAAGGACACACAGATTATACTGTAAGTAATTTTGTTGATTTATTTTAATTGTCAGTGAGCCTTTCATTTCCGGGCTCAAAGGTAATTGGACAAATTAAATAAATGAAGATAAAATGTTCATTTCCAATCCTTGGTTGAAAAGCCTTTGCTGGCAGTGACAGCGTGAAGTGTTGAGCTCATGGACATCGCCAGATGCTGGTTTCCTCCTTTTTAATGCTCTGCCGGGCCTTTACTGCAGCGGCCTTCAGCTGCTGTTTGTTTGTGGGCCTTTCTTCCAAAGGTCAGTCTCAATGCTCAGCTGAGTTAAGATCAGGTGACTGAGCTGCCCATACAAAAATTTTCCACTTCTCTGCTTTAATAAAGTCCTGGGTTTCTTTGGCTGTGTGTTTTCAGTCATTGTCCATCTGCATTATGAAACTCTGCAGTCTGACTGCATTTAGCTGGATGTGAGCAGACAGTCTGTCTCTGAGCACTCGGCTGCTTCTGTCCTGTGTCACATCATCAATAAACACTAGTTTCACGATGACACCAATGTTCCCTCTCATGTTTCATGTGTGTGGACGAACACACAAACTCCCTGAGTGGCCCCTTGGATCACTGTGAGCAACAGCAGACGTGTGCACTGTGCTCACGCCAGCGTCGAATCCATCCAAGTCACATGGTTTATTAAAATAATCAAATTACAGCATTTACATTTATGTTAGACTGTGGCGGACAACCAGGTGGCTCCACTCACACCCAAGTTGAAGGGAAGTGCTGGGGTGGAGATTTTGGCGCTTACTGTATGTGAAGTTCTACAGAGTCAGTTAATAAAGTTGGAGTGAGACATTGAGGCCTCTCCTGTCGTTATTACATACCTCCACATTGGTGACCCCTGTGGCGAACATGCTAAGGCTCGACGACGAAGCCAGCTCCGGCCTGGAAGCATCGGCTGCTGCCGGACTTCCACCTCCGCCGATGGCTGCGTTTGCTGTGGCGCTTAAATTGCCGGATTTTTGGCTTCTCGACCCTCCTTCATGGTTCGTGCACGTAGAAGCTCAGTTTGCTCTTCGCGGAGTTTCAGCCGACGATACTAAATACCAGAGGTGGGACCAAGTCATTGTTTTGCAAGTCTCAAGTATTTATCCTCAATTCACAAGTCAAGTCTCAAGTAATGTCAGGCAAGTCAGAGTCGAGTCTCAAGTCACTGGTGTAAAAGTCCGAGTCAAGTCACAAGTCTGAAACTTTGAATTTCAAGTCCTTTCGAGTCTTTAAAAAAAACGAAAAAAGCATGTTGCAGTTATGCTAAATGTAAATATTAGACCAGCGGTCCCCAACCCCTGGGCCTCGACCGGTACCGGTCCGTGAGTCGTTTGGTACCGGGCCGCGAGAGTTGAGGCTCAGGTGTGAAATGTCTGGTTTTCAGGGTTTTTATCGGTTTTCAGCGTTATTTTGTTATCGTTTTTATCGTTTACTCGGTTTTCCTGGGTCTTTTCACGTGTGTTATGAATAAATCTTCTTTTTTCGGTACCGGTACTAGTTTTATTTTGTTGTATTTATCCGCGACACCTTAAAGGCCGGTCCGTGAAAATATTGTCGGGCATAAACCGGTCCGTGCAAAAAAGGTTGGAGACCGCTGTAAATATTAGATGTAATTTTTAAATCTGTGTTTTTCTCAACACATGACAAAATAGTGAACTTAGAAAATATACACAAATTGTGAAATTGCACCTCTTTAAAATGCAGCTCAATTAAACCTAGCTCCAAGAATAATTTTCACCGACAGTTCTGAGATAAGCTGCATGTTATTCTTGGATGCGCTTGTAGGACCGGCTTTAAAATCGCATGACAAAAATATCATACACATTAAAAAAAACTGTATCACCAACGGAGCCTGGACAAGCATTTGCTAGTTAGATGAAGTCAGCTATCTCATCGTAGCAAAAGAAGCACCACCTACCGTTCTTTATGCAACTTCAACTGTCGGACAAAGTTGGAAGTTGTTCCATCTCTGTCTGTGATTCTCCTCTTGCATGTTTTGCATATTGCATTTCGGGTTTTTTTGTTGACTACTTCATAATTTATGTACCTGAAAAAAATAACTCTCTTGCAGCATTTTTGAGCGTTTTTTTTTTTTTTTAAAAAAAATCTGGTTAATTTGATTGGCTGTGCTACAGCTCACGCACACATACGTACGGAGTGTGGTTTGAATAAATGAATGAATGAATTGAATTAATGGTGCACACTTTCTATATAATATGCTGTTAAATTTTATGATTTGGGGTGAAATATCAAGTCTTTTCAAGTAAACCGGTTCAAGTCCAATTCAAGTCCCAGGTCATTGGTGTAAAAGTCCAAGTCAAGTCACAAGTCTTAGAACATTTTTTCAAGTCAAGATCTAAAGTCATAAAATTAATGACTCGAGTCGTCATGTGACTTGAATCCACACAGCTGTGGCTACAATGTAGCTTGCTATCGCCAGTGTGTGAATGTGTGTGTGAATGGGTGGATGACTGAATGTAGTGTAAAGCGCTTTGGGGTCCTATGGACTAGAAAAGCGCTATACAAATGCAGGCCATTTATTTACCACACCTCTGCTAAATACCACCATGTGGTGGCCTCACTTGACCCGCTGTTAACCCGCTGCGTGATGACTCTCCTCCGGGACCCCCCAGCCCAAGGCAAGTACACCACCCTCAAGGCGCTGCTGCGGCGTTACTCCCTCTCTGATGCTGAGCGGGCCGAGAAACTCCTTTCCCTCGCGGGCCTGGGCGACGGCACCGCTCTCGAGCTCATGGAGAGCATGCTGTCCTTACTGGCCACGGATGACGGAGGATTCCTCTTCACCTACCTCTTTCTCCGACAGTTGCCGGCTCCAGTGTGCGCTGGCCTTACCAACTCCCCGCTATTGGCCACGAAGGATTACCGCTCCCTTGCGGAAGAGGCGGATCGCATCCTCCTGGCTACCAGGAGTTTCGGCGTCCAGGCGATTGTCCCGGACTTATTGGTGGGTAACTGGTGCGTAGAGAACAGTCCAACCCTGCCAGGAAATATGTGCTGGGGAAGGAATGGTATTAAGACACTTTTTATACTTTTTATAGGTAATGAACAATTTCAGAAAAAGAACTGAGGGGCGTACAGGAAAAAGTTGAGTCCAAGTTGTGTAAATGGGCATGGTTGCTACCCCAGCTGTCATATAGGGGTAGGGCTCTGATTGCCAATAATCTGGTTGCCTCGTCCCTGTGGCACAAGCTTGTGGGGTTGGTTCCACCTGCTGGGCTGTTCAGCGTCTCATTGTGGATTTTTTTCTGGTCCGGGCAGCATTGGCTTAAGGCATCTGTACTGTTTCTTGCCGTGTCAGAGGGAGGTCAAGGACTTGTGGATATCATGGCCAAGACCACTGCCTTCAGATTACAAACTGCTCAGAAGCTGCTTTATGGAAGTAGTTACTGTTGGCTGCCCTTGGCTCGGCTGCTTCCCCAGAAAGCTGGATATCCTGGACTGGATAAGCATCTGTTTTTGCTTAAAACAGCAGAGCTTGATATGATGGGTTTAACACCTTTTTATCATTCAGTGTTGGATGCTTGGAAAACGCTGAAGATTTTCCGTGATCCTGACCCTAGACCTGGCTGGGGATTTTTGAGGAACCATTGTTTCACAATGACTTTTCGTTTGCTGTCATCACCTACAATAAGGACCAAGTTCATTCAAGCTGGGATTGTGAAACTGGGTCACCTCGCAAAACTATCGATAGAAAGGATGTGCAACCTTACTAACATCAAGTCCACCAGAATCTTAAAGAGGATCCTGGAAGACGTCTGGGAGTCCTTACCTGTGTCACTGAAACTATTTGCTGAAAATTGCAATCTAGCTGACCAGTGGCATAATGGGTATGAGTACGTATTTCCAGTACTTTCAGCTGCGCCAGCTTTTGATGGATGGCATGAGGAGAATGGACTGCTGTTGGGTGTTCTCAGTTCATGTGGGAAGAAGCACCTGTATCAGAGTTGTGCCAAGGTGCTGAACTTGTGCTCGGGGGGTCAGGGAGTCGAGGTGGACACAGGTTTTTGGTTCAGACCTTGCCCCGAAGGGCAGATGGAGGGTCCTGTATAAGCCACCTGTTGAGAAACAGGTTGGTGACCTCCACTGGAGGATTTATAGCTACGAACAGACACACAGCTAGACCCGACTACTAGGGGTGGATGTCTATTTTGTGAACAACAGGAGTCGCTGGAACACTTGTTTTTGTCCTGTGTGAGGTTAAAAAGCCTGTTTAGTTTATTGCAGGAATGGGTGGAAGCCCTGGGTGGGCGTTTTTCTATGGCAGTTTTTGTTTTTAGTCTTAAGTACAGAGCTTTGAAAAAGAAGACGCATGTCTTAATCAATTTCCTTCTTGGTATGGCAAAGTTCGCAATTTGGAAAACGAGGAAAAATGAAATGCTTGGACAGGGTTGGACTGATGCAGCACTTAGTTTTAAGGGCTTAGTTGCATCGAGATTGAAAGTTTTTATAGAGTTACTTGTAATCTACAGATGTTTACAGATTTGTGGTGTATTAGAAATGTTTTATGTTCATTGAGGGAGGATGGTGCACTTGTTTTGCATTTTTAGAGTGATATTATTATTCAGTGTATTTGTTTTGATAACTACACGTGGATCTAAGTGTGTGTGGTTTTTGGGTGGTGTTTTTGTGATGCTTCCTTTGACTTTGTGAGCGTTTTGTTTGTATTATTGAATTGTGATATGAATAAATGTGTTTGTTAAAGGTCAAACGTCTTTCTTTCTTTCTCAGGATGTACCAACCTGTAGAGTTTGCTTCTCTAATATTGCAGCAGTTTCTTGGATGGATTTTTCTCTGTTTTGGCAGTTTACGGATGGCTTGTTCCACCTGCTCCCTTGACTGCGTGCTGTCTGTTCACAGTAACATCTTCCACATGCAAGCACCACACCTCATGATGTGCTGTGCAGGAGACAGGAATAAGACGCAAACGCAGGACTCACAACACAAAGGGGTGAACTAAAGGAGGCAGTAAAACATCTGGACGTTAGATAAGGTTAAACGACTCGATTCCCTTATTTGAAGGTAAATACCTTAGTATTAGTAGGTAAATATAGTTATGCTGGAATTACAAATAATTAAAGCGTACTTAGGGCCTTAGTATCATGCCAAAATAGGAACCCCACATTTTGTTGTGTTTTGTTGTGCTATTTAAACATATTATAAGGTGTCATGTTTAAAGTATTAGTTCTTTTCAAGTTACTAATCAGGATACTACTTTTGTTGCTTTTCATTAAAAAAAGCAAAGACCTAAAAACGGAGAGCAGTGAATATGCAATAACTGAATGCTGCCATTCATTTATTGCATTATTCACTCCTGGACTGTGCGAAAGCTGCGCCACAGCTGAATGCTGACACTGTAAAGGACAGAGTGAGGGAGACAGACACCAACAGATTACCCACGTGATAGCCTCCGTCTCAGTCCGTGTAATCGCCTAATTAATTCTCACTATTAAAACAATAATAGCAAATTTACATTTCATAGTACAGAGTTAATAAAAACATATTGTTCTCTTCTCTCTCTGCTGTCTTCTCCCAGTGGAGCCCAGCTCATCATATTTATATCAATATTCAAAATGTTCAACCAAAAAAAGGTATAACCCCAGATGTGTGAGGATGCTTTGTTACAGGCAGCACAAGAGTAAGAAAGAAAAAGTGAATTAAATAAAAGAATAAATAAGTCCAATAATGTGCAAAAGGCCAAAACTAGAAGAATGCGACTGGCCTGCACCGCGTTCGATGAACTAGAATGAAATATGATGTCATCAAACGACTAAAAGGATGTTTGATGACATCATATTTCATCAAAATATGGATGCATGACAAGGAACATGCAAACGCGGTGTAGCTTTCACACAGTCCCGGAGTGAAGACTTTAGAAAAGTCCAAGAAAAGATGACTTGTGTCTTGAAGAAGCTCAAAATATTTGACTCCATTGGGCACGTGGCTCGTTTTTATAATCAGAGCGAGAGGTCCACAGCAGCAGAGCTGCAGATGTGTGGGACGAAGCTCACTGTTGCAACAAACACAAAGCATAAGAAGAGCCTCTGTTCAGTGTAAGTTACAGTTCAGAAACAGTCGTTTAATCAGACACACGCTTCAACGGCGTTATTAAAGGTTAAGTTCACATATGAATCTGATGTTTACATCCCAAAACATACAGTTTAGATTTATTTTAAACTATGAATGCTCAAAACTCCAGTGGCTGTAGGTGACATACAGTTGTTAAAGTCCATGACAGACTTGCTTTTATCCGTCAAGCTCACAATCTCAGACATGAAAGATGACAGTTACTCTTTTTTAATGATAACATCTGCAACAGGGAAAAAAGCCCACCAGTACCAGAGTAATAACCAAACCAGGACTGCAGCTAGCTGTGAAAGAAGAAGCAACACAGGAGTTGTTGATGACAGGACAACTCAGTTATCACGAAACATGAGATCAGTTTAAAGAACATATCAACACACGGTCAGTGAAAGAGCCTTATTTTTGTAATGTGCTGATTCCAGAAGCCATGAAAAAATTACAAGTTCATCTGCAAATCATAAAACATGGAGCGTACCCACATATTACTGCAAATGTGATCTGAAGGTCCCTGTTAGTGTCACAGTGATAGGAGTGCAGTTGTTGTCAGGAATTCAAATCCACCGTTCAGGCTGTTACAATGCTGCTCATGTTCACTGCAGGTGGAGTTATTGTTCTTATTATACACAGTGCCCCATTTACAGAGGATCTTCTCACCAGAATGCACAACATAATAACATGTTACAATACTATTCATAAAAATAATAAGAATATAAATAAAAATACTAATATGTAAAACAGAAAAGAAAGCGACCACGTGTACAGTGTCAGAACAAACCGAGAGGAGGAGGCATCACCATGACAACACCCGTGTACTTTCACCTGGTAACATCAAAGAAGGCAAGAAGGCCTCCTGCTCCCCCACAGGTCCACGCACGCCCCCTTACAGGGTGCACCCCCCACGCAAAAAGAGAAAGAAAAAGATTTAAACAAACGAACCAACACAGCAGTTTGTAGCTGCCTTCAAAATAAATCTTACCACAGAAAAACAGGGTGTATTATCATCATCACAGCATGCTCTCAAGGCAGGTCTACAGAGTAACAAGGACCCTTTGTGGTTAGGGGGTGATTCCAGTCAGCTCAGAGACACCAGTGGAATCAAAGACTTGGTTTTTAACATTTCATAAAGGGTTCAAATTCACACACTCAAAGTATAATGTTGCCGTCCTAGTGCAGAGTCCATCTGAAGCCTGAAATACTGAACCTCAGGTGCTGTGTTCAGAGAGTTTTGGTCCTCTTCAGGGTCGCGGTGCCATACTCTCAGGAACGCATAGCTCAGACCAGTGGGATCAGGGGTCCCCCCTCTGCCCTCCCCTCTGCTCTCTGATGTGAAAGTAGCTCATTTTAACAGAGGGTGTCTGTATTGAAAGAGAGCTGCACCTGCCAAACACACACAAATATACACACCAGAAAATCACTACACGTGCTAACACGTAGTGGTGATGTCTTTGTCAGGGAGCGTGCATAAGAAAATCCAGTGTTTGTTTGAGAACAGTGTGAGAATGTTCTTGGTTCAGACCTGCAGCTCATCTGCAGAGTCTGCACATACTACCTGTTGCTCCACAGTCTGAAGTCTGACAGACTAACCACCTGTTCAGGGTGCAATCCTGTTCTGTTACCTGATGATAGATGGGCTGAGACCCTGTGTGAACACTTACATTTATGTAACACTGTCAGCGTTAGATGGTTCGCTCCTTTAGAGGCCACTGCTGCATTGAAAACAGGCTGAATGTGTTTAAATCATTAGCTTTTACACGTGTAGAGGAAACCATGCTGGTTAAGCACATTTGTTTACTCTGCTGGTGAAAAGCTACTCCAGTGTTAACTCTTCACTGTTGTCTCCTGAGGTTTGTGCTGTGGTGATGAGGGTCACTGAGTACCTGTCCTTCTACAGTAGTAGCAGTGTTTCCATTGCTTGCTGCAAGCTACACTGATGCTACAACATCTCGTGGTAACACTACAGTATGTCCTAGCCCAAGTTCTGGGTGATGTCTCTTCCACACACTATAACTCTGTTTGTCTCATGTTACTGACCTTCCAGACACAGATGTGGGGCCTGCTGCACCTTCACCTGTGTACCCCTCCCTCTGAACTTCAATGAACAGAGAAACAGAAAACTCTAGGCAGGATCTGCTCACCCGTTCCTCTTCGAAGCTAATGAGACCTTCATCATCATCGCTCTCCAGCTCTTCTGGCGCCTCACTGATCAGAGCGTTGAGTTCTGTGTTGGCCGTTCGAGACTTTAGAAGGCTGAAGATGCGCTGCAGGGGGGACTTTCCACTGCCCAGCGGCGACACATCCTGCTGCTCAAGGTTATCGCTTTGTTTCTTGGCAAAGTTAACAAACACCTGGATGGAAAAAGAGATCCTGTACTTTATTTTTTATTTAAGATATTCCTTTTTGAAGTCTTGGATGAAACTGAGTCACTCACATTATCCAGAGTAGTCTGACTGACAGAGTAGTCCTCAATACCCAGCACCTCCACCACCTGCTCCATCTTACTAAAGACCTGAGCCAGGGACATGCGCTCAGACTTCAGCTGGTACTGCACCTTGGTGTGGTGACGCTCCTGCAAATATGATAACACGGTTTACAGTTTACCACATTTTTCAGCTGTGGTATTGTAACTGTGGCCAGTGACTCCAATTATAGGGATATGGACCAGCTCTTGATCCTGTGGGTATCACCTATTAGGTTAGTAATTAGTAGCTAACTCAAGCTGGTGTTGAGGATACTGGCCTAGCTTTAACTGCCTACGACCGGATACCTGCCCTGTTTCAGCTGAATGCTACATGGACTGATTCTTATATAAAGAGTACAGAGTACTCACAGCGCTCTATACAACATGCCACATCCACACAAGCACTTTCTTCTATGCTTTAAGTGATTACTATCTAACATTCACACACATTCATACTCGGATGGATGCATCGGTGAGCAACTTAGGGTTAGTATCTTGCTGAAGGCATGCAGACTGGGGCAGCCAGGGACTGAACCACCAACCTTCTGATCATCTACATCCTGAGCTACAGCCAGCCAAAGATGCACCCCACTAGAACCTAAAGTTAGGGACAGTCAACAGCTGTACCAGTTGTAGGAGGCTCCTTGCACTTGTTGAATGGACAGGTAAGTACTGAATGTCCACATCGTCAGACTTTATGTGCAGAGGTTTTATTACAGTGATATAGCACAGGCAAGGTAGCTTAATGAAACAATACAGATCTTCTAATTAAACCACACAAAACTTTACATTCTTGAATCGATTCTATGGCGATGCTAAAGATCTACCACCAGTTTTGGTATATAACCACACTCTTCAGGTAATATTTGCTCTTTATTATATTTATTAAACCGTGATATTATTTTCTCTCTGATGAGGATCTTTAGATCTACAATATAAAGCAGCTGTTGGGGTGAATTTACACTATATCATGAAAACACAACTGAACTGATAGTGAGGTTTAGTCTGGTGCTACGTCTGTCAGGTTGGTGCTCTGTGGGTAAAATGACGACACTGGAGAGTTGCTGTAACGTACCTTCAGCAGAGCCTCGGGGAAGTTTCTGTTGAAAAACCGAACCACCTCTTTGACGCTGGAGCTGCTCTTTGTCCTCACTGTGATCATGTAGCCATCTCCAAACCTATAACATGTTAAGAGAAGCATGACTGCCTGTTTTTCCATGGACTGTGAGGATGAACTAGTGGAGACAGAGCATGAGTGCAGGATGAGGAGGAAAGCTTATATGTACTGTTCATTATACCAAAGGTAGAAACCTGATATTGATGACCTCACAGTACTCAAGCTGATTTTAAAATGATAAGTCAGAGCTGTGGATGAGCATGGTCAGGTTGTAAAAACAGCTGGAAAAAGATGAGATCACAGGAGAACAGTGTCTCACCTCAGATTTACTCCACCTCATCCCAAACCACAAACATCAGGTGAAAATACTCCTCCCTCACATCCAGCGTTACATCTCCTTCTACTGTCCAAGATCAGCTGTTCCACAGCCCAGGAGAAATCACTGCCCTCTTGTGGCAGTTGAAAGTCTCCATAACTGTGAAACATTAGACTGGAAATGCTGTTGTGGATACTGGTTCGACATATACCCCCCAGCTGACAAACTCACCTCATGTACTTGTCTAACAGACCACCGAGCTAGCTGCTGGGCTGGATGGAGACAGAAATGACTCTTTAGAGTAAAAGCTGGCATGTGCCTGTGGTGGTGCTTGTTTCAAAGACAACGGCATTTCCTGCTCTACTGAGTTTAGATTTCATATTATTCACTGGTATGCAGCTGGATGTTTCAGAAGGAAAGTATTGGTTTGATGATGATAAGATAAGTGGGGGGGTGGTAGATGACCAGAGCACTGCTTTCTTTCAGCAGACACTCCTCGTGTCTCCACGTCAGAATGTGCCACCATCATCTGTGCTCTACAGGGCCCCTCACAGAAGCTTACAGTAGAGGTGGAAGGCAGAGCAGAAAACCAGAAAGTCACACCCTGAATCAGAAAATCACTGATACAGGAGATATAACATCAATCCCACCATGTCATCAAAACAGGGCCTTATCTATCTATCTCAAGCTTCCCTACAAGACCATGTGCCAGCCACAATCCTTCCCCTGGACATCTGGGAAGACACCAAACCTACTGACGATTGCAGAAATGGTCTGCTGGCTAAAACCGAGCTGGGATGTTCAGGAGAATGTGCAAAACTGTAATGTGTTCTATTGTACAAACTTCAAAACCAGCAACCAGCAGACAAACACCAACAAACGATGGTCCAAAGGCTGCTAGGGATGTATGTGATGGGTCCATCCCCCAAGAAGATCAACCAAAGTGTCTTTGTTGACACCACTCCAGGTAAGTTATTAATCCTTTATTTATCCAGGTAAAAAATCTCATTGAGATTAAAAATCTCATTTCCAAGAGAGACCTGGCAGGTAGGATGATTCTCTTTAAGAAAGTAACATCAGAAGCTCTGACACAGTGGCCCCTATCTGATCCATGATTTGTCCTCCTGGGAGTCATGAAACCCAGTTTGTCTCCTCACTCTTGCAGACAGAGTCCCAAACATGGACAAATGAACACATCCTCGGAGCAGTGCTGTGGAAAGAGTAAACTGCACCTTAAAAAAGAGACTCTTACACTGAAACCAGACATAAACAGTGGGACAAATCCATGACTCCCAGTTTGCCCTAAATCCAGCTCTTCAGGTGTCCTCTGGTTTCTCCTGCAGAGCTGAATCTTTAACGACGACGACTCCTGGATGTGTTGCTGCACCCTCGAGATGTCACACATCAAACCTCTGGATGTGCCAAATCTCAGAGCTGCAGGTCCTGAGTAACCGTGTCTTCAGGAACCTGGACTATATAACTATGAGTAACTATGATTAAAGAAGGTCCTGACCTGTTCTTTAGGTGCTGGATGCTCCCCAGGCATTTAAACCTGCCATTCACCATAATGCCCAGTCTGGTACACAAGGCCTCACACTCCTCCATGCTGCAGATGTAGTGAAAACACTTTGGTGAAACATTTGTAACACAGATGGTATAACAGGAGGTGTTCCAGAGGAACATGCATGTCATTACTAAGCTTTATAACCTGTGTGACGTCAGCACTACAGAGCGTCCGGTCTTGATTATGTCCAGGATTAAATTCCAGAGGAACCTGCGGGCCTTCGGGTCCATCCCAGTGGTGGGCTCATCCTAAACACAAGCAAACACAACAATGTTTAAAACAGCGACAGACTCTGGATGGACTCTGAACCTTACTGCCTGGGACGTTGACAGGCTGACATGTGTGATGTAGAAATGTTGGACAACTCTGATGTTTGTTTGGTTTTTTTAATCTGGACTTTTTTACTATTTGACCAACTGGATGTTGGGTTGATGCTGTCTCCACAGGCTGTTCAGGGGCACTCACTGCAGTCTTTAAGTAAAACTGGTTGCATATTTTCTGTATCCATGTTACACTTAATCATTAAAAATGATCACATATTACGATGTTTATATCAAAAGATTACTGTGTTGCACACAGACATTAAAATATAATCCAAGGTACGAGTAGAACTCGCAGAGTAACTAACTTATATAATACTATCACTACTTTTGTAATACTTTGTATACATGTATGCAATACTATCAAGTTTTAATAAAAATATTTATGAATGATCACTCAGATTACTGATTCGCCCCATAGTCACACATTCACATCGTCCTTCATTTTAGCTTTTAAGCACTTCTATCGGCTCCATTTCAATGTTAAACATGCTTCCAAAAATGAACTAAAGCTTCAAACAGAATGTGAAGAAACCGGCGGATTGACCCTCTGATCTTTGCTACGCTGCCCCGAGCACAGAGAGCATCTATTCTTCTTACCAGGAAGATGAGTGATGGGTACCCGATGAGAGCAATGGCAGTGGAGAGCTTGCGTTTGTTTCCTCCACTGTAAGTGCCCGCTGGTTTGTCTGCATACTTGGACAGCTCCAGCTTTTCCAATGCCCACTGCACCACCTGCAGGGGGTAAAGAGTAATGTGAGCCGTTGAAATTCTGCTGTTCAGGCGATGAAGGAGACCACGGTAGGATATCACCCCTTAATGTGGAGCTGCATAACATTTGCTGAATTGTTCCAATATTTGATCCTCAGTTTGTATTCTCTGTCCAACATGTTGGGTCTGACTCTGACCGTAACTATGGGTCTTTTACTAAATAACTGCACAATCAGCAAAAGTTCTTGTAGGTTAACATGTCTGCATGTTTTGCTGGCTGTGTTAAGTGGATAATTACAAGACACCACAAAGTTACAAGCTACACAGAGTCCTGTGGAGTCTGATAAAAAAAAGAACACACTTAAAATAACTAACTGTTGTATAAAACAGCAGTTATAAAGGTTATTGGGAAATAAAGGTCAGAGGAAGAAGATTACTGCATAAGACTAAACTTCAGCTCTTTTTCTTTGTAATTACTTCACAAAAAACGGTGATAAAACACGCTTCACAGAGTGAGCAAGTTTATCATGCACAGGATATTCTCTTCATTATCTTACTGCACAAAGTCCAACAACTGCCGTCACAATGTGAAGTCGTTTTTAGCTCAATGAGTCAACTCAGGTTTCACCTGCTCGAAGAATGAACCGAACACTCAGTCATCACAAAAAAGTTGCAATTAAGTTTTATCAGTTTAGATGGACCTCACCTGTTGCAGACACACGACTACAGGAGGGGTCGGGGCTTTGTGAATTCGGTGGCTGTCAGGAGCTGAGGCTCTGACGGTAGGCTGGCCAGTTAGCAAACATGACCGTTTAACATCACCTCTTTGGCAGGACAAGAGCCTGAGGTCGAGGGTCTCTGAATGATTCAGTAGAGAATTGGGGTTCAACCTAGTGGAGGAAAGAGATATTTCCCCTTCATGTCAGGGATTGCATCCTGACTGGTGTCTGTGATTATAGTTCAGCTTACTGAGCCTTCATGTTCTTGGTTTTTGTTTTCTCCATGGGCAGGAAACAAAAACAACATGTAATAGTGGCTCTAGCAGATTTACATTTAGCTAGATTTATGGTCAAACCAGTTCAGGTGTCTTCATTTGCTCTACATGCTCCTCCCAGGTTTCACTGTAAACACCTACGTCGTCTAAATAAACTGCACTGCTTTATAATCCTGACACAACTGTATTCATTAATGTTAATTCATTAATGTGAAAAGGAGTTGCTGCATTTCAAAGACCAAATGGCATGACAGCATATAAATACAGACCTGAAGGACAGAACAAATGTATTTGGCTCTCTGAGACAGAGGAACCTGTCGACGCCCTTTCTAAAGGTCAAACTTGCTCACAAAGTTTGTCGTGGCTACCTGGTCAATACAATCTTTCATTCTGGGAAGAGGATATGCACCTGGCTGTGTGACACCATTAATTTAGCAAAAGTCAGTGCAAGACCTAAATTTGAAATCTGACTTCTACATCAGCAAACACAGAGATGAACAAGCAGAGGAAGAAGGCAACACCATTTTCTACCATTTACCTCGGATTCTAATATCTGTCGCTTATCAGGAGATGACCGGTAAAAATGCTGTTTAATAGGCTGAGTATCATCAATATCATGGTCCACTAAGTGACCACAAGATGGTGTACCTGAGAACAGAGACAGATAAGACTCTATAATGTTCCCAAAAAGTTTATTCTGTTCATCTGGATGCAGCGTTTTCAGTGCATGTAACTGTCTGATATCAATCAGTTGTTCGGGTTTATCTTCATCCAAATGTACAAGTTGCCCAGAGCTTCCCACCAATTTTTTTAAGATGATGTTGCAGCATCCCATCTTCCAATACTCTGAAGTCTTGGTGCTGAAGGTAAGGCTTTACCAAACATCCCTGTATCACCGCACATTAACAGTTAAACAGCACAAAGAGATGCTGAGACGCTGTAGAAACAAAGACTGCTCACCATCCGACCAACCACGTGAATCTACAAGCTTCTCAAACATACAAAAGAATATATCTGGGTCCAAATCCAGAACTCCAGCACCACACTGAGTGTGCAACTCAGCGTGCAACCTACGAGCAACACGCTGGTAAGGGGCCACAACCAACCTATATTAAATTTTAGGAGGTGCTGAGCAAACTTCTCCCCGAGTTACACACTGGGCTCTTTTTGCAGGCTGGAGAGGAACCCTCACTGACCACCAGATTACTGAACCAAATCAAGGTCCCACCCAGCATGTAAACTGAGCAACACGCCAGTAAGGACCACAGGTTACAGAAGACTCTAAGGCTGCAAACGTGTGACTCCATGAGCAACCCACCGGGCTCTCTTTATAAGCTAGAGAGAAACTCTGACTCACCTGACCCACCAACGTCAACGCCTTTCTAAAAGGAGAGTCATACGCTGTACATGTAATATGTAACATATATGTAACATATGTGAAAGAGAACTGGATTAGTACAAACCTTAATTTCAACCTTAAGTTGTACAATGATACACAACCAGATAGCAGGTATGTAACTAGCTCTGATTTCTGTCTCTGCTCAAGTACAAACAAACAAAGCGATAAGTTCTGTAACATCAAAAGAACCTGTTTATTAATCTCAATGGAAACAGGAAGCATAATATCAGCTGTTGTTGCTGTTGCACGCCTCACTTATCTTGCTCAAAGTAACATTAGAACCCTTCAGGCTTAATATTTTGGATTTCTAAAGTGGGGCCGCCACATCCCCCCGCGACTAGTTGTGACTGGGTGGTGGCCGAGAGGTGACAGGTGGTGCCAGGGCTCAATGCCAATGCCTAGCCCCGCTGTACCACCTGGTTGTGAATCAGGGGGCAGGAGAGGATGCTGAACATGGCACGGTGACCCCAAAAGCATGGTGTGGCATAGTGTGGGTAAGCTGGGAGAGTATGACAGTGGCCCTGCTGTATGAGAGCTTCAATTCAGACCATCGGCAGAGATCTGACAGCATTTCGAGGGAGGCTGGAGGCATCAAGTCCAAGTGAACCATTCTGCTCTGGTGGTTCCCTTTTCAAAAAAAACTGTACCAGAGGTTGAGCTTTCAGAGGGAACTTATCTCTCAACCTTCCCAGTAATATCTATGCTAGTGTGCTGGAAGGAAGAGACTACCAGTTAGTCAAATCTTGGAACTAGGAGGAACCAATGTGGTGTTCATCCTGTTTGTGGGACACTGAAGTCAGACTCTGCCAGGGCTGCTCTTTGCCATAACTTTTACAGGCAGCATTTCAAGGCGCAGGAAAGTGGCAGAGCGGTTTGCATATTGGTGGTCATGAGATGGTTATGAGCGGACGGACACTGTAGTGGAGAGAGAGCTGAGGATAAAAGTGATCACCTGTTTCATCTACATTTCTACCCTCAACCACGGTCACAAGCTGTGGGTACGGTTCCACCAAAGCTGCTACTCCTACACATCAAAATAAGCCAGATGAGCTGGTTGGATGCCCCCTTAGTAAAGGGTTTAGGGTATGTCCTATAGGGCTGTGCGATATGACCAAAATCTCATATCCCGATATAAGACATTTATCGTCCTGACAACGATATAAATCACAACAATGTAACATTTTCTATAAATTCTGTCAATCTCGGGCAGCTCGACTTGTGTGAAGTGTTTCCAGCTGGGCGTCGTGTAGCTGGAGTCGAGTGTTTTCTTTCCACCATTTTCTTTCAAAGGTTTATTTTTTAGCACCTGACGGCTCTTTTTTGCTTCTCATCCGTAAACACTCTGCATACTCTTTCACCTGATTCAGTTTATTTTGAAAAATCTCAACAGGATCCTGAGCTTTATTGTGAAAGGTTTACGTGGAAAACAAACAAGCGGACAGCGGAGCCACGCGATGGTTTTACCGTCATTGTTGCTAACGACAACTTGTAAAAACAGGCGCTTGTCTGTCTGTAGTGTGGTTATATTAAATATAAGAGAAAGAGAGAACTTTAAGGAATGAATACTACAGCGACCATCAGAACCATGAAAAATATTGCTGTAAACAGTTTATTTTACGACACCACGAAACAAACGACAGACGTTTTTATATCGTCACCCGATATATATCATTATATCGAACAGCCCTAATGTCCTGCTGAGCAGAGGTCCCGCGGTAAACCCACGCTACAGAGATGATGTCTCTGCTGGCTTGGAAACATCTTGATGTCCCCTCAGAGGTGACTGTGTAGTTGGAGGTCTGGGCATCTCTGCTGCTGCCACAGCAGAAAATGAATGATAAACAGATGGATGTCAATCTGTCCAGATACAAAAATATAAACCATTACGAACACCTGCCTTGGTTCAAAGATGGAGGGCAGCAGGTTCATGGGAGAGGAAACAAGAAACGAGAATGCTTTTTCAAGCAGTGGCACAGATCATCTTTTCTTATCCCTCCATGCAGACTGGTTTGGTTCCTGTGCCGTATTATTGAGCAAGACACTCACCTCAACTTGAAATCGATGCAACCACTGGAATATGTACAGTTGTGTTCAAAGTAATAGCAGTCCAACATGATTAACCAGATCAGTCAGTGTTTTTGATATAAATCATATTATTACATGGCAAATAATTTATCAGTAGGTGCAGCAGAGTCAGAGAAACCAACAGACCCAACAATCATCACATGAATGCACCTGAGTCTGTGCAACTGAATAATGAAGTGAAAGGGGCGTGTTCAAAGTAATAGCAGAGTCCAATCAGTGAGGTTGTTCACTATGTGAAGAAACAGGTGTCATTCATGCGGCCCTTATTTAAGGATGAGGCCAGCACATGTTGTACATGCAATCGTCTCTGAAAACCTGAGAAACATGGGTCGTGCCAGACAGTGTTCAGGAGAACAGCGAGATTTAATTAAAACATTGAGGAGAGGGGAAAATGATAGGCTGCTCAGCTAAAATGATCTCCAATGCTTTAAAATGGAAAGCCAAACCAGAGAGACGTGGAAGAAAACAGAAGACTACCATTCGAATGGATGGAACAACAACCAGAACGACAAAGACTAAGCCCATAATCAGCTCCAGGGATATCAGAGGTATCTGAAATTACCTGTGAGTACTGTGACAATTAGAAAATGCTTGAGTGAAACTAATCTACAATTTGCCAAAGAACATATGGACTGGCCTAAAGAGAAATGTAGAAACATTTTCTGGACTGATGAAAGTAAGATTGTTCCTTTTGGGTCCAAGGGCCACAGACAGTTTGTCACACGACCCCCAAACACTGAACTCAAGCCACAGAACACTCTGAAGACCGTGAAGCCTGGTGGTGCAAGCATCACCATATAGGGCTGTTTTATTAAGGTGTCGGGCCTATTTATCACGTACCAGGTCATGCTGCCTTATGCTGAAGAGGAAATGCCCTTGAAATGAGTGTTTCAACAAGACAACGACCCCAAACACATTCAAAACATTCAAAAATGCTGCCTCTTAGGAAAAACCAAGAAATGCAGAGGAATTGTGGAAGGTTGTCCAATCATCCTGGGCTGCAAGAAGCTGGGCGACTCCATGCAGGACAGATGTGAAGCAGTTCTCAGAAACAGTGGTTATACAACTAAATATTAGTTTAGTGATTCACAGGAATGCTAAAATATAATGTGCAGTGTTACAACATTACAGCGTTGTAATGTTGTAAAAAAGGTATTATATTTTGAGCTTTACTCATGTTTTAAAACACACTGCTATTATTTTGAACACAACTGTATGTGTGTGACTGTTACACAGCCTGCACACACAGTGCTTGCATAAATGGGTAAACGGGGCAAGTTGCTGAAACTGCTTTGGGTGCTCAGGTAGGATATATATCAGAACCAGTCCATTTACATTCACCATGGCTTTAGCAGTGGGTCGGCGACTGTCTGAGGAAATATATCCATGTTTCCAAGTTAGCCAGTGACACTTTGACTGTGTGTAGGAAGGTTATGAAATGCCGGACCCAGAACGAGTTTGGTCATGAATATGAGGCATTATCCTCTTCACTGAGAAAGTGAGGACTGGCCAAAATCTTCATGATCAACATGCTGGCGTATCCTCACTTCTGATACTTGTTTTTCTATTATTTTGATCACAGTTTCTGTTAGTAAACCTAAAGTTGTGTGTGT